TGATTATATTCGCTACATTGTCCTTACAATGTCTTTATTCAGTGAAAAAACATTATTAATTATCAATAAATTAATTAAAAGAAATATTTTCATTAGTTATATTGTCTTTATTTTTCTGAAATGTAAAAATTTTTACATTCAAATTCATCAATTGATTATATTCACTACATTATCTATTATTTTTTTTGTGCACTATTTTCTTAATTAAATATCAAAGTTATAACATAAAATAATGTTATATATTTATTTACCAAGTATTTTATTATTACCATGAAAAAATTAAAAAAAATATAATTAATAAAGCCAACCATATTAACTACTTGAGAGATTTTGTGACAAAGAGAGTATTCAAATCACACAATAAATTGAAGTGAGAACTACCTCACAATGTCCTTGTTTGACAATCAGCAGTTAGCGGTTAGCGTTAGCGGATTATACTAGCGGATTTGACCAGCGAATTTATTTAATTATTAACATTGGGTAGAAAAAATGACTGCCAAATTATTAAATGAAATGAATGGTTCATATTGTTCAGGTTTTAATTTTTTTCTTTTAAGATTTTCTAATTTATTCTTAATTATATGATTATCCATTTAACTTTTCCGTTCATTCACCGTTAGTATAATTCTAATATTAAAGTCTAATATAGAATTATAACTACACCATTAATCTAATTCTAATATTAAAGTCTTAATAGAACTTAACCACAAATCCTAATGTCGGAATCTCCTCAAACAATATTAGTATATATTTAATATTTTATGCCCTAATTTTTATTTGTTCTCCCTTATGTCCCGTATTTGGTTTCAACCATACCTATACAATTATTTTATTGACAATTATAATCAATATTGACTATATTATCTTGCATTTGTAAACTTAGAATTACCTATTTAACCCGCACGGGCTTAGCTCAATGGTTTAGTAGGTAGTATTTGGGAGAAGAGACCAAGGTTTGAACCACGGCGGCGGCAATGCGGGAATTATGTCCAAAGTGGGCAGATTCCTTGTGCGTATCAGCATTTGGCCCTGTCTGCTGAACCATTGAGTCATCGTGATTTACAACTTCCCACAATGCTCTGTCGGGTCGGAGTGTGGGGGGCCCTTGGGGTTAGGGACTCAACCTTTGGGAGAAGAATTACCTATTTAAATACGCAAATTCAACCTTCAATTATCTATGCATGAACAATTTCAATATAATCTTGCCTTAATATATTTTAAAGTACTTATTTAAAAAAAAAAAAACATTGGGCATTATCCCAATCGCGCAATGCGCGTAAAAAACTAGTATATATAAGAAGAATCACATGGAGACTAGTATAAAGAGTCATACTATGACTCAAATACAAGAATCCTAATACTAGTCCTAATACTCCCCCTCAAGCACATGGTATACTTGTAACTTGTAGCTTGTCTCTGAGAAAAGAAGATTTAGGACCAGGCAATGCTTTGGTAAATATGTCTGCAAGTTGATCTTTTGTTAAGATGAAGTTAACTTGAATTTCTCCAGCAGCGACTCTATCGCGCACAAAGTGATAATCTATTTCGACATGTTTGGTGCGAGCATGAAAGATGGGATTGGCACACATATATGTAGCTCCGAGATTATCACACCATAATTTAGGGACTGAAATATCTAGAACATGAATTTCGCGTAGAAGGGACATGATCCAAATTACTTCAGCACAAACATCTGCTAGAGCTTTATATTCAGCTTTAGTAGAAGATCTAGCATCAGTTCTTTGCTTCTTGCAAACTCATGATATGAGATTAGACCCAAGAAAAAACAGCAAAGCCACTTGTGGATCTTCTATCCTCGGGACAGCCAGACTAGTCAGAATCAGAGAAGGCATGAATTTCTCTTGAAGATGACTGTCTGACTCATAGACCAAAAGTAACAGTTCCTTTAACATACCTTAAAACTCTATTTAGTTGTTCCCAGTGAGCAACTGTAGGCGCGTGCATGTGTTGACATAACTGATTGACTACAAAGGAAATATCAGGACGAGTAATAGTTAAATAATATAATGCACCAGCTAGACTCCTGTACTGTGTAGGATCATCATGTAAATCTATAGTGATGGGCACGCCTTTCAACACAGGAATAGGAGTATACAAAGGTTTGCATTCTGTCATTCTAGCACACTTTAGAATGTCATGCATGTATCTCTGTTAGGAAAGCAAAATTCCATCACTGTATTTGACTACCTCAATTCCAAGAAAAAATCATAGCTCACCAAGATCTCTAATTTTAAAAGGAGTAGAGAGTTTCAAAACTAGGTGTATAACTAGATTCGTATTGCTGCCCATCATAAGTATATCATCCACATAAACCAATATATATACACAATCATATCCCTAAGAGTAGTAAAATAAGGATACGTTCGTTTTTTATGCATGAAAACCAATAGATAGTAAAAAGGTGTGCAAACGATTAAACCAGGCTCTAGGTACCTTTTTTAATCCATAAAGTGACATTTTCAATAAGCAAACATGATTTGGATAGTAAGCATCAATATACCCAGTTGGTTGCTTCAATTCATATATACATTTTCAGAGAGTTTCCATTCAAGAAAGCATTATGAACATCCAATTGTTTAATAGACCATCCAGATGATAAAGCTAGAGAAAGAAGCAATCTGACTGTGGTTGGTTTAACCACTGGACTGGACGTGTCAAAGAAGTCTTGACCGGGCACCTGATTAAATCCTTTTGCTACAAGTCTTGCCTTATGTATCTCAATTGAGCCATCAGCTTTTCGTTTCGTACGAAAAACCCACTTACACCCAATAATGTTCATGCCCTGCTGAGATGGCACAAGCTGCCATGTTTGATTTTGTAGGAGGGCATTAAATTCTTGATCCATAGCCTCACATCATTCTGAATATTTAACGGCTTGAGTATAACAAGTAGGATCTGAAGGACAAACCTGAACAAATTGTGGAGCCTGAGACCGGCTCCGAATGTGCATCTCATGAGTCCAAATTGTGGACTTAACCGTCTTCCCACGAGGACGACCGTGAGGGCGTTTCACGGGCTGGTCCGCTTGGTTACGTGGCTCACGCTCGGGCGAGCCCAAGTGATTGGCGGTGGCAGCATGCAGCGGTGGAGGCGGCACGGGGTCGTCATCGATGGAGCTAGGTCGGACGGCAGTCATGCCAAGAGACGTAGAAACGGCAGCCGCGAGATGAAGAACTGACTCAGCCCACGGATGATGCTGCGCCGGTTGAGATGTCTGTGCAGTATTTTTAGTAGTAAAAGGATAAACTATTTCATCAAACCTTACATGCCTGCACACATAAACCTTGTTAGTCTGTAAATCCATGCATCTTTACCCCCGAAACGACTCATGATAGCCTAGGAAAACACACGGGGAGGACCAGAATGAGAGTTTGTGACGATTGTATGGCCGGAGATATTGATAACATAGACACCCAAAGACACGAAAAAAAGAATATGAATGGTTGGAATTATGCACTTTAAAATAGGGACTGAGATTATTTAATACAACAGATGACATTTTGTTAATTAAATAAACTGTAGTTTCAAAGGCAAAATCCCAGAACTTATATGGAACAGAGGTGCGGGCTTGAAGAACCAAACCAGTTTCAATTATGTGTCTATACTTTCTTTCGACACGACCATTTTGTTCATGAGTGTAGACACCGGATTGTCTATGAAAGATGCCTAATTGAGTAAAGGAATGATGTAATTTTTTGTATTTGGCTCGCAGATCAGACTGAATGGCTTTAATTTTTTTGTTAAAAAGCCGTTCAATCATTGTGTGAAACTTATCAAAGATGACATACAAATCAGATTTTAATTTCATGGGAAAATACCAAGTGTAGCGAGTATAATCATCCACAAAAATAACGAAATAACGATAGCCATCAATTGACAAAAGAGGGGCTGGACCCCAAATGTCTGTGCATATTAAATCAAGAACACTAGAACTGGAGGACTCAACACGTGCCAACGAGAATCGAGAGGATTTACCCAATTGACATGCATTACACAAACTATAATCATATCAAATAGAATTAATAGACGCATTAACCGAACACGACTGAAAAATATGAAGTAAGACACGATGATGTGGATGTCCTAAACGATCATGCCACACTGACGGAGATGTACGAGCTATAAGAAAAGCAGAGGGAGATGGTGCGGCAATTGGAAATCTATAAAGACCCCATGACTATTGCCTTTAAGTTGAATTTCCTTGGTGTTGATATCCTTCACAACAAAAAATGACGGGTGAAACTAAAAAAACACCTTATTATCTGATCTATTGCAAATTTTTGAACAGATAATAAAGATGTAGACAGACCGGGATCATGAAAGATATTAGACAATTGAAAGGAACGAGATGGGGTATTAAAAGAAGCATGCCCTACACGACTAATAGGAAGTGCCTTACCATCACCCATGCGCAATGTGTCATTACCCGTATACTCTTTTGATGTAGATAAGGCCGCAATATCTGGAGCCACGTGGTTGGTTGCTCCAGTATCTGGAATCCAAGCCTGAGAGCCATCTGAGTGGTCATTCTGATATGTCAAATTTGCTTGTGGAGGAGGATCATAACGATTGTAACAAGCCAAAGGTGAGTGCCCCGTACGACCACAGATCTGACAGACGAGCATTTCGCCGTTGTCGCCGCGTCCACGCTGACCGCCACGGCCAGTTTGCGACTTGCCGCCGCCACCTCCACGCTGGACACCTCGACTATTATTCTGTCCGCCGCGGCCTCCACGATGGGTCTTCCCACCTCGCTGAACGGCGAAGGCCGCCGGTGGGGCTCCAGGAGCCATACCACGGATGAACTCCTGAGCACCAAGAAAGTCAGCCAGCTCACCTAGGATTACGGCACCGCGAACAGAGAGAGATGCGGTTAGGTTTTGAAACTCTGGCCGTAAACCCCAAAACACATAAATATTCATCTCGTCTAACCCGACCGGCCTACCAGCCAAAGCAAGATCCTCTAAAATAACACGGGCTCAACCAATATAATCATCAACCGTGGAATCTCCCTGGCTCAGAGACTGGAGTTGGCCAAAGAGATTTAACGAGCGGGCGCGAGATACGGAAGCCAAAAACTGTTCAAATGACTCCCAAACCTCCCGTGATGTACGGCGTCCAACGGTGAGGTGCATAACTTCTTCACTAAGAGAAGAGATCAACATAGACATAAGAGCCCGATCATGCCGAAACCACGTGGCATGCTCGGGATTTGGGGCCGGCGAGGCACCGTCGACGGCGGGGAGGAAGGGCACCGGACCGGGATGAGATCCATCTACGAACAACATGAGACCATGTCCGTCAAGAAACGGAACGACTTGTGTCCTCCAAAATAGATAATTTTTATGGGTAAGCTTAATACTGATAAAGTGATGAGCAGTAGAAAGTGAAGTAATAGCAGAGCTAGTAGAAGACGTGATAGCTGAATTGGGAACGGTCCGTTCGGAGGAGTTAGCAGATTCGTCAGCCATTGGGATAGAGGAAAAAACCCTAGCTTAACTGATACCAGATGAGAATTGTATGAAACTGTATATTATGAACTGTAGTTACAATGTACATGTAAGCAGAATATATATACAAGAGGAATCACAGGGAAACTAGAATAGGGAGTCATACTATGGCTCAAATACAAGAATCCTAATACTAGTCCTAATAATGAATAAATCATAATTGTAACAACAAATTTGTCGCACTAACAACAAAAAAATAAAATCAAATTCATAATTCATCTTTTTACACATCGCTAGAAAAACCATAATCAACACGAATTGCTAATTGACTATAAAAATCAAGAAAAAACCGGAATTGAAGACGATCCATCAACATTTAAATCTGTCTGATCTGTTGCATCCTCCATCAACAAAATCAAAATTCAAACTCAGAAAACGAACGAAACAACGTAACAATTAAGCCATTTAGGAAAATAAAAGTGAATTCTTTTTTATAACTAAAATAGCATCGTTTTGAAGTAAAATGACGCCGTTTTGAACCCGGGTCCACTAGTAAACATGATTTTATTTTCTGCAGTTGTTATACCATGGTCACAACTATTGGTGAATACTAAATTGTGTATTTTTAGTATTGGAATTGTGAGTTTTTAAAATATAAATTGTGTTTCTAAGTTTTGAGAATTTGTGAATACAATATAGGGTCATCACAAATTGTAAATTTTTAAAAGGTAAATTGTAAACATTCAGTATGTAAATTGTGTATCTTTGGATCCGAATCCACCTTGCCGGGTCCACAGAATAATTTACCTAATTCTTGAACTCTATATTAAAATACAAATTAGTGTAATTCTTGAGTGATACTTAAACATATTTATAATTAATTTATTATAAATATTATATAATAATTAAATAAACAATATTTTAATTTTTCTTCAAACATTTTTAATATTTAATTGTCTTCGATCTTATCATATTAATTAAAATAGATCTTCAATTATTTTTTTTTTAAAATATTTGATAGATGGTAAATCACAATTCAACACATCTAGTATTATAAATATCACACTCATAAGTACAATAAATATATTTGATGTGTTTAATTTTCAAATATTTTACTTTAGTCGAAAATCATAAGGCAATGTTGTTAAAGAGGAAGAGTGAAAAGAATAAATTCTTGAGAAATATGATTACTTTACCAGTTAAAAATTCAACAAAACCACCTTTTATTATAAATATGATAAATAACTTTTAGGTCATTATTACATTACACAAACCTAGAAATTAAACTCTGAAAATTATAATATTCTTTTCGGAATGACTTCCATGACCACAACTTTTGTAGAAGCAAATGTGGTTTAATGTTTAATCAGATTTGAGGGTTTTGGCAATGTCAAGGACAAATCTATATTTCACATCAGCTTTCATGAGACGTTCCAAAGCAGTGTTGACATAGTCCATTGGGATAATCTCAACATCTGGTGTTATGTTGTGCTTTGATGAAAAATCCAGCATTTCTTGTGTCTCCTTCATCCCACCAATGCCACTCCCAGCCACCAATTTCCTACCTGTCATTAGTTCACACAAATATGCATCAATATTAATTAAGGTATGATAATTAAAGCCCAAATCCCAATTTAATTATATATACAAGGATGGATGGATATGATGTGCTTACCCATGAGCAATGGAAACACTGGCAAATCAAGTGGCTTTTCTGGGGCGCCAACAATTACCAGCTTTCCATTAGCTTTCAATAAACTCAGTAATGGCAGAAGAGGGTGAACTGCAGAAACTGTGTCTATTATACCATCCAATGTGTTCATTGCACCCTACTCAAAATACCAACCAACAAAGATAATATATAATAAGTACCGTACCCTTTCAAAGCACTAATTTATATATGTAATTAATGGAGAATTGAATTGTTACCTGCATTTGTTGTTGGTCATGGCTGATCAAGAACGAGTCTGCGCCAAGGTGTTGAATAGCCTCTTGCTTTTTACTAGCAGAGGTGCTAATCACGGTCACCTTAGCTCCAAAAGCCTTGGCGAATTTCACAGCCATATGGCCAAGGCCGCCTAGGCCGACAACGCCGATGTTCATTCCGGGCTTGTCAAGCCCGAAGTATCTCAAGGGGCTATAAGTTGTGATTCCGGCGCAGAGCAGTGGAGCTGCCTCCATGGGTAAATTTTCCGGCCACCTGAGCACAAAGTGTTTGTCGGCTACCATGATGTCGGAGTAACCCCCATATGTGATGACACCATTAGCGTTGTAAGTTGGTACAGCTCCAGGGCAGTGGTTTTCAAGATCATTGGCACAGCTTTCGCATTTGCGGCAGGAACCCACCATACATCCCACGCCTACTTTGTCGCCAACCTTAAATTTCTCGACCTTGCTCCCAACCTCAGTCACCACACCCACAAATTCGTGGCCAGGAACAATGGGATAGGTAGTGTTACCCCATTCATTCTTGAGCTGGTGAAGATCGCCGTGGCATATCCCACAGTACAAAACCTTGAATTGCACATCCTTTTCGCCCGTTTCCCTGCACCCATTAAAACCCAGAAATTAATTTTCACAACTATATATGCATTCAATATTGACCCAAACACAAATTTGGCATACCTTCTGGAAAACTTGAAAGGAGAAAGAACTCCAGAGGTGTCCCTGGCTGCCCATCCAAACGCCTTCACTGGGTGCTCGTTTTCATAACAAGTTGCTGCCATTTTCCTTATTGCAGTTGGATTGAGAGAATAAAGATAAGAGCGATCAGAAATGTTGGAAACACAACCAATTAGAGAATTGAGTGAGTAATGGTGAGGGCAATGCGTGCTTATATAGTGAGAGTAAAGATTTGTGAATAGTTGATACGGTGACGTAGGTGGTGAGGTGGGAATAGGCAGTGGGTAAAACGTCTGCGCTTGGTTTCACAAAGGGTGAACAGTAAAGTCAATATCCGAACTAATTCAACTTGTTCCACGGGACTAATTCAATTACTTGGACCAATCAAAAATCTCAACTCTATAACGTATTTACAAGGTCATTCGCTAGTATTTACTTGTATAATTGAAAATGTTTTTGATACGTTCACTGTGAACAAATATTAAAGGTGCAAGAAAACTACAACAACCACAAAATAAAGAGTTAAGGTTGGAAGGAAGGAATTAAGGAGAAAAATAATTATAATTCGGTGGAAAAAAAATAAGGTGAAAATAAAGTAGGAATTACAATTACATTGTTTGGTAGGGAGAAATAATGAAAACGAAAGAAATGATATAAAGACTAAAATACCCTTATGTAATAATATTAATAAGGAATAAGGGTCAAATTTGCCATCGAACGTAACGTGAAAATGCAATTAGACCATTCAATATTGTAAAGTCATGCAATTTGTCCCAAGTGACCTACAATGGCAGGTTACCAACAAGTAATTAATTAAAAATTATTTTTTTTTAAAAAAAAAAGACTAGCTCCTGTGATGGCGGGCTGTCGACGGTAACCTTCTTCCACCTCTCTTCCCCCGATGCGTACAGCTCTTTTAATTTCTTTTTAAAAATTTTAATTAATTACTTGTTGGTAACATACATGCTATTGCAGGTCACTTGGAACAAATTGCATGATTTTACAATGTTGAATGGTCTAATTGCACTTTTTTTAGTTGAGTGGTCAAAATTGCATTTTCACGTTACGTTCGATGGCTAATTTGACCCTTATTCCTATTAATAATAACATTCAAAAGTCAAATATGTCATTTCCTTCCATTTCACTTTTCATTGTATGGATGAATTCATTGAATTGCAATTCAATAAATTGAGGGAATTGCAATTCGCTCCAACCAAACAATGTAGTTTATCATTTCATTGAATTGCAATTCAATGCCAATGCAATTCATGCCAACCAAACACCCATTCTTTTAGTCTTCAGTCTTTTTCCCTATTCTTATATATGTTTGATTCAGTTTTCTTATTTTCATGCTCTTTACCATTACTTCCTCTGTGTATTTAAATTAAGAACAAGTTCACAGAGTTTAGGATCATCATTATTATTGTGTAATTTTGGCTAATGTCATTGGAGAGAAGAAGAACTCCAATTTTCTTCACGAGTATCTGTGCTTTTGTTTTCCTTTCGATATTTCTGCTTCCATCTGTAATCATAGGTAGAAGCCGTGGAATCGTTCCACCTCCAGCTGCCACTTCAGCCCGGTACGCCGTCCAGTGACGCGATCCCATCCGCCCCGGCCTGTAACAGTTTTTAAATCAAATTCTTTTAACAAATATTATATGTAATGATATAGCTGTAGGGATTTTAAATTTGACATTTTAAATCGATTGAAGCTATTAATTATTATATTTAAAAAATTAAATATCACCACATAAATTGAAGTACATGAACTATTCGTAGTCGGATTGCATTTTATTTGGCCTGTTGATGTTATTTTGTCCATCACTTAAGTAATTAAAAAAGTTAATTGACCTAATGTTGTCCCATGCATATTGGCCGCCGTTGGTTTATGTATTGGAGCGCAAGATTATGATTCAAAAATGATGTTGTTTTGTTTAAATTAATATAGTCTTTAATTTTTCTTCTACCTTTTCTGTTTAGTTTTTAATTCTATCATTGTTGTAATAAGTTGATAATATCTTAATTGTATGTAAATAAATTTATAACTAAAGGTTCATAAATGGAGTGTTTGACATGTAATCATGATTATAGTATAGTTGTAAGGAATATTTGATTGAAAACTAGCAAGTTTTTATTATGAGATTAAAGAATTGATTTTATAAACTTTTTTTTGTACATCAGACAAATAAAAAAAGTCCCAAAGGTAGAACTGTCAATAACTCAATACGGCTGGCTCGTCACAGGTTGAAGAAAAACGGGCTGGCCTGTTTTTCATACGGGTTGGGATACTAGGGGGAACATGGGAATCTAATTTCTTGAAAATGAGAGAATTTTAATTCCGTCAAATTGCAATTCCCTCCAACCAAAAGAATGAATTTGCTTGCCTTCGGAATTATGTG